TGAGCGTGTGTGCAAGCAAGTTCCTGTGTATGTATATGAATGTACAAGCACACGGGTGTGCATGCGCGTGCTTATTTATATTTATTGTGTGCGTTTGCATGTACAGATTTTTAAGGAAATGGTTTGTGTGTTGTGAACATCAGTCTAAAGAGACATGGTAACAAGTAGGAAGAAGTGTGCGTGTGTGTGTTTGTGTGTGTATGTGCATGTGTGTGTGTATGAGTATGTGTGTGTGTGTGTGTGTGCGTGTGCGTGTGTGTGTGTGTGTGTGACATGTGTATCTGATGGACAGCCAGAACTGTGAGAGAACACCGGAGCCCAGAAATGCCCCAGGTCTTACTTAAAACAAGGACAGTCCCCACCCCCCACCCCACAACTTTCCGAAATGCCAAGGGAGGGAGGAGGCCCCAGATCTACCTCGTACACACAGAACAGCATCAGAACTTTCGTCTCACACCTTGAAGTAAGAGCCTTGAGTAGAGCAGTCCTGCCAACAATTTCAAAAACCTACCCCAGGCTCAAAATGCGCAAACTTCCATTAACCCTATCTGTACACGGGGGGTCATTTTGTACCCCCTGGGTTGTATTCTTGACATTTTAGAATACGGTACTTCTAGTGCGAAGATCTCTTTGAAACTTTCAGTATTTCTCAAAAAATCATTTTGACTAGACTGCTAAAAATATGCAAATCGTACGGATCAGATCAACGAGTAAATTTCCTCTTTGGAAAGTGGTGGCACAGAGTTCCCCCAAGTCATATGGATACGATAGTAAAACACAGCATACGGTTAGGGCTAAAAATCCTTCTGCGAGTCAAAATCGATTATTTTATAACTTCAATTGAGAACTATCAAAGAGACAATAGTCAAGATGGCAATATTGGAGTCTTTGAGTGTGTCCTGACAGATAACAATTTCCTGAAGCTAGCAAAGGACTTCTCCACTGACATTGAAACATTGACTTTGACAAAACAGGGGCCCGATCACAGCGATGTGCTACAGGTTGTAAAAACAACAAGACGGCTACGAAGACACGCACTTTGGTCAAGTCTTGAGGTACAAACCAGAAACCCCACCAGAATGACAATCTTTGAGGGGAGAAAGG